CCCGAAACCCGAAACCCGAAACCCGAAACCCGAAACCCGAAACCCGAAACCCGAAACCCGAAACCCGAAACCCGAAACCCGAAACCCGAAACCCGAAACCCGAAACCCGAAAACCCGAAACCCGAAACCCGAAACCCGAAACCCGAGTACTTGAGAAATTCCTACCTCTGTGTTGATCATGTATCCAGATCATCCCCCTCCTATCATAGATGACGTTGTCATGACGTGTGGGGCGAGTCAAGTGAGTGGATAGTCTTCGTTCTAGTATCTATCTCTGTGTTATAGGCCATTGACATGGCTATCGCTGTTCTCGCTAACACGAATGGAGAGGATACAATACTCTTGCCTCAGCCCTCCTTCCCACTATACAGTAAATGCTATGCATCTGCTCACCAGATGCAGAACTCAGCCAGGAGGGATGTGCCTTAGATACCTTGTGCTCTTCGAGAGGTATAAACGTCGACTTTTATAAGTTACGGAGCGATAGAAAATTTGAGGTTATCTATAGCAATGTCCCTATCTTGTGTAACTGAGTTACTTCAGGTGGATATGACCTCCCTGCAACGCAGTTTGGAAAGTAATAAACTTAATGCCAAGGGTATACTCCTGAATAATCCTAGTAATCCTTGTGGCAGTAACTGGACACGTGAACATATAGGAGACATCGTAGCGCTATGTCAAGAGTAGGCTCAGACATCCTATTTCCGCCTGATCATCATCATATCTGCTTATAAGTAACTCAGGTTTGGTAACTTACCAATAATCGCCGATGAGATCTACCATGATATGGTCATTCGGTGGGAACTTGAATTCACCTCTATGCTCTGTTGCTCTTCAGTCATTTGATGGACAGCCAGTGATCCCCTTTGCCTCCGTCTCTGATACAGTACCCATTCTCTCAATTGGGGGAATTGCTAAACGGTGGGATGTATGATTTATTCTATCATGTGCCACTTCCGTGTAACTAATAAGTATCCTTCCTATAGCGCGACTGTGCAGGTTTATGGTACCTGGCTGGAGAGTTGGTTGGGTCTGTCTTCATGATAGAGGTAGCGCTAAGAAGACATGATGGAGCTCAAAGT